AGCCAATGTTTGACTGACAATATTGTTTACAGAGCTAATGTACAATCTGATAAGGGAAAAATTTTTTACATTGGTTCAACTGAAACACATTTCAGAAAAAATTGATTTTACAATCATAAATTAACTTTAAGTAATAATTTTTAAGTCAGGTGCCATGCGTGATACACACTTAGGCAATCATGTATCTTTGGATACATGACTGATGATGCAGATTTTTTTCCCCCCCACAGTAGGTTGTTTTTTCTTTCTGTGGTAGAGCAGTTACCATCCAAGGCTATAGAACCTGGTCAGACCAGCTATTTACCCATAGTTGGTGGGAGAAGAGGAGGATTCATACCTTTCCCAAAAGTATTAGCACATAAGTGAATGGATTCGACTGGAATTCAAGCTCACTCAGAGCCATTATCCATTACTCTACCGTGCCTTCATTAACTGGGAATTAAAAGATGGTGGGTTTGTACCAAAAATGACATGCAAAATAATGGAAAAAACTAAATCTTACAATGGTAAAAGGTGAAAGATGTAACCTTTGCCTTGTAGAAATATTGACTATTCGAAAAAATTTAAATAACTCTAATAAAAGAAATGATGGTTACATGTAGACATAAAAAGAAACGTCTCTTGAAATATGTTGCACTGAATTGATTTCAATCTTCATTTTTTAATTCATTTATTTACTTTTTCTTTAAAATTCAGTGAAATATTGTATGTTTACTTGTTTGCATTAGTAATTTTTTTTTTTACTTGCATGTTTATGTTCTTTTACTAATATCATATTAAATGAAAAATATATTAAATACATATTAGGTACATGTATTTTATATATTTTGTCATTTCTTTTCTACAGGTCTTTATAATTACATGAACGATAAGTGTGCGTATATATGTGATGTTTTTGCGTATATTTACAGTTTAGATATATACTTTTTCAATATATTGGAAGTTGCATATTCACACCCACACACAATCTAGATATATTATGTCTATTTATTTTTATTTTAGTCTTCTCCTGTTTGCATACCAATTTCTTAGTGATGGTATAAAATTGATGGAGAAAGACGGCAGAGCTGTTTTTATATTTTTTTATTGTCAGAAGTACTTTTAATCTCATCCAAGATCATCTTCAGGTGTGAATTGATAGATAAACAATAATGTAAGTTATGAATATGTAAGAGCATGAACTCTGTTAAATTCAAAAACATTTGTTGCTATGTAAGGGAGGTAACTTAATTTATGTAAATTCTTATTAAAAATTATAATTACGTTTTAAAATAGTTTTTAACAATTACAATTTAAATATTTTAAAACCTTGCTGTTATACACATTTTAGAACTTTGTTACGAGACTCATAATTGATTTTTATTTATTTTTGCGTCATATTATTTTTTATATAAAGAGCTTCCAGAATTTGTTTTTTTTTTTATTTTTGTACAGAGTATACTTATATTGACAATTAAGTCAAAGAGACTTTAATTTCATATGAATGACTATAGTTCAATCTCAAAACATTTAAAAGGCACATTTCTGTCCACATTCACGATTTAGAGAAATATTGACAATACAAATATACTCCAGCACAAGAATAAAAAAAAAAAAAACAAATATCTCGCAACAGGAGTCTTCGCCATGTGACACAAGCAGGAGAACCCAGTCATGGCTGTCAAAAAGATTATATGTGGGCCACAGTTGAGTGAAAGAGCAACAAAACTCCTTGTAAAAAGAAAGAACTGAAGGCAAGGATTATGGCAGTATTCACCATCTTAAACAAGAAGACTATCCAGAAGAGTTGTTGGAGAATCCAAAGTCATCTGGAGGCCGTGGTTGAAGCAAATAGCGATTTTATTGAATAAATTTACTCTTTAGTATTTCAAGACATTTTTGTGTAAGTTTGGTAAATATACTTGTTAAATGAGATGTCGGTGTTATTCTCATTTTTGTGTCATCTAAATGACAATTTATCCATATATATATATATATATATATATATAAATAAAACGTTTCACTCCAAGCCATGCAACACTGCCACTGCTGGAGGGTTACAGAGAGTGAAAAAGAATTAAACTGAAAATGTGGAGGATTGAATAAAGGATATAAAAAAGAAACAAGTTTCAAAAAGACAGAAGATGGCAACTGACATTGCTTTTGAATTTTTGAAGATTCCCATTATCAGAGAACCAAGAAATTGGAATGGAGTTCCACAGGCGAGAAGTGTGTGAAAAGAAACTGTTAAAGTGACAGTTGCATCTAGCTATATCAACAGTAAAATGATGAGACCTCAATGCCAATCTAGTCACACGCTTGAATTCATGTAATTGAGGTACCAGTGGAAAAAAAGCTTGTCAGAGCAATTGCCATGAAAATATTTGTAGAAACGATAGCGGGAAGCCACAGTACGTTGATGAGAAAGTGATAGAAGTCAAGATGCCTGGTCAGTATCAATTAAAAATGATAGCACTTTTATTGATATATGGAAAATTATGGAAGATTTTGACAATAATTGGCTCAGTAGAGATCTAGAGCATGTGTGTGTGTGTGTGTGTGTGTATAAAAAAAAAACAAATGCAGAAGTAGTAAAATGTGTAGATTTTTTTTTATCTAAGCTTCAAAGAAGGGATAGAAAATTGACTAAAATCATTTGAGGTTTTTTTTTTTTTATTTTTATTTCTGAAACTGGAACCAATGCAGATGTACAGTGTTCATCTGAATGAATTGTGAAATGATCACAAAATAAATAAATAATAAGTAAGAACCACAGAAATTTGTCTGCTTCTAAGCAAAAGCCAAAGATTATCATCAAATTATGTTCATTGTTTATTTTAGCAAAAAGAAAAAAAAAAACAATGGTCATTCACACAAAATCAAATCTCGTAGATTTGGATTATTCATTCTAAAAGAATATCTAAATGAGCAATGAGAAATTAAAAGAACTAATAAAAAAATAAAATAAAAAAAAATTTACCTGCTTCTGAGATTTTTCCTCAAATCCAATTTGGAAAAGCAGATATTTTTTTTATTCCCACAAGCCAACAAATAAAAGAATGGAACTAAAGATTTCTTGCTTGACATTAAAATCAAATAATAATAATGTAAATTGGATTTTGTCAATAAAATGAAAGGAAATTACTTTATCATTTTGGAAAAATCATAAAATTAAAATTAAGTCTTTGTACTTCATTTTTAAGAGAGATACCATTTATGTCATGTCTTTGAGTAGAAAGAAAAAAAAAAAGACATTTTCTAAAGTAATATTTTAAGTACTCCTTGAATCCAGTAAGAACAAATCTTGTACAGGAACTTATTTTGGTGATCACCTCTGTTTTATCAAATTGCACAGATCTAGAAATTATTATTTTTTAAACTCTTCATGGATATTTTCTCAGGCTGTTTTACTTTTCTCATGACAAGCAAGGCACTTTACCCAAAAGTGATCTTTTCTTTCACCTTTCCAATTTAAAAGGCAATTGGCATGAGGGAAAAAAAATCAGTTGATTGTTCAAAGCTCATGTTTCTTGAAAACATTCACAAATAAAATATTAATAATATTAAAACATTAAGGACAAAATAGCTAAATATTGAAATCATAGGCAGATTTTATTTAATGACAAGAAACAATAAAAATTTATGCCCTGCACAAAGGATTAATCTCTCTCAGCATGGAAAACAATAATTTGAAATCAATTTTTTGTAGATTTAAGGAACCCTCCCCACAAGCCTTTATTCTGCACAAATTCTCTTAATCATGTTGATATATACCTAATCAACCAATACTGCCATAAGGTATTAACTGCTTTTTATATTTTAAATGCAAAATATTTTACATATTTTTGTAATAATTCAAAATACTATGTAAGAAATTTCTTTTCCTCTTGAGAAATTTATGCATTTCTTTGATTAGTAATTAAAACTTCATAAATTTCAATTCCAAATATAGATTTATTTTTCTGAAATTTTGCATCAATTCAAAAACAAAAAAAAATCACTATTGTTATCAGCAGATGATACTTTTTCAGCACATACAATCGATTCATTGATAGTCAAAAATTATCTTCATTTAAATAAACCTCTTGAAGCTTTCAATAAAAATTATTTTAATGTCCCAATTCAGATCACATCCTCAAATTTCAGGGGCAAATGATCAAATCTCTCGTCATTGTCTTTAGCGTTTTTCACAGAAACAAGGGAGGTAACAACGAATCATTTACATAATTCACATTAAAATAAAATCGACATTTTTCATAGATTTTTTTTCTGATGATACGAAGCAGATAAAAACTGAAGTCAGGCCCACATAAAAGAATTCATTGAAAAGTCAATATTTATGAAACATTTTTAAGTTAATGTGTTTAATAAAAAATAGGGGGGAAAAAAAAAATAAAAAGAATTTTAAAGGGAGGGAAAAAATCTCCGCCATTCCTTAACCAAATTTTCTTTCTTTAAGAAAGTCTTTGTTTTTTGTACATAAAACTAAGACTGACAACAGTAATTGTAGAGAAATAATTTACCTATTGAACCCAGTGTACCAGTTTTTAGTGTCTCATCACCAAAAATAATTACATAGTCTAACTTGGAAGTAGAATTTGAGCAACTTTATGCTGGCCATTTGCCGTTCTTCATGATTAAAGTAGTGAAAATTTACCCAAAATATTCAGGGATGGTGTATCTGTAAGTGGTCAGTTCTTAGGTGCCAACAGGTTAAGACCTTAAAATATTGTGGCCAAAAAATCAAATCTTTTGCTTGGACAAAGCAAGAAAAGATTTGGACAGGTCTTTCTCAGAGAGGAAAACAATTTTTACAAAAGTAAAAATAATTTGACAAAAACAAAAAAAAAAATTTAAGGTCAAGTAAAATGGCATGGAAAGATAACTATTAAAAACTATTATTGTCCTATACTATTTATAAAAACAATGGAAAAAAAAAACCTAATACCAACAGAGTGTTGGCATCTGTATTGAAAAATCTGCAAAATGAGCTGCAAGTGACAGTTCCAAATTGTGAAGCTTTAAAGAAAATAAAGACAATCATTGAAAGAGAGAAAGATAGATATAAGTGAGGCAGGTGGGTGGGGGGAGAGAGTGGGGAGGGTGAAAACTTTACATTTAATGAAAAGAGGAACAGCATCAACTGATCTTTGCAGAAAGAAGTCTTAAGCTGTAAGGCCTAATTTTAATGGTGGTTGATGTTCCACTGTTTCACATTACTATCTTGACCAACTGATATGACAACATTGTCATTCAACCAGAGAACACGATTCACCTGACTCATTTTGTGGGCACCTGAAAAACAATTAAATAAATTCATAAACATTTCTTCAAACAGCAAAAAAAATTTTTTTTTATAATTCAAATTAAATTTTGATTAAATTCAACATTTAAATTAATCACTGACTTCATCCTTTGTCTCCAAAGCATGTAACTTGCATGAATACCAGTCTCCCACCATCACATTCTATATTTTAAAATTTTACATTTTCAGTATCAAAATATTTTCAGATTTCTCAACAGCATCTCATAACAACCAAATCTCCTAAAATAGATCAATTACAGAGGAAGAAGACGAATCATTTTATTTTAGGAAGAGGACGAATATATTTTACCTTTGATAATTAAAGGTGACATCCATTCTTTAGGGTTATGAACAATGATGTTGCTGTCAATTCCACCCGTAACAAAATGAGTGCTGTCTGGACTCCAACTGACAGAGTTTACTCGGGCAGTATGATGAGTGGAGTCATGGACACGCTGTTGTTAGAAACAAAAGAGATACAAATTCATTGGCAATCAACTGATGCAATGGAAGACAATATTAAAGGTTTCACAGTAAGAAACAACAGTGAGAAAAAATAAAAAACAATCATCTTTTCTAATAAATAAACTCAGATAAGATATGTAATTAAGGACAAGAAGGTCATTTTGAAAAATGTTTTAATAATAAACACAAAGAAAATTTATAACTGAAAATTCAAGGGTTAAAAAGCTAACTTTAAGTTATGTGATATGTGTAGATGCACACAAGAGAAATGCATAGTCAAGGGAGATAATTTATTATTAGCAGCAACATGACTTCAGCAAAATAAGACTTGTAGGTTCTACTGATTCTCAAATATTGAATAATAGCAAGGCAAACAATCACAGTGAAATGCCCATAAACAAACATTTCAAAACAATTGAAAAAGAAAAAAAAAATGCCTTTTTTATAGTTACCATACAGTTTTAAAAGAAAGTCAAACATTCATTGAAGTAATTAGAAATTATTTCCATTCGGTCACATTGAAATTAAAAAAAAATAGAAAAATTAAAACTTAGCCTTGGGCTATTAGACTCAAGAAAAAAACTTACCGAGTAATCAGGCAATCTGTAGAGGTTAACACGCCTGTCACTATTGCAAGATGTCATGTACTGTCCATCAGGTGAAAAGGATATGTCTTTAATAGAACCACTTTCTTCTAATGACTTGATTTCTGTCAAAGTGAAATTGTTCACTTCATATAAATGAACCTTGTTATCCTAGAAAAAAAAGATAAAAAAAGTTTGCATATCCACTAAGCAAAACACATTCACATGCAACAATGCTTATAAAACATTTTAATTTTATCAATTGCTAATACTCAAATGATTAGTGAACCAAATTTTAAACGTCCAAATCTTTTCCTATTGGCTTAAATGTCATCCAAATATGGTTTAATTTATTCATTGTCTGGCAGTTTTAATTAACCTCTTTACTTTCTTGATGTCTTCTCACCATAAGCACAATTGGTCTGTTTTATCTTCTACCATGTCTTTCTTACATTCAACCATTTATATTTCTAACAAAAAAAGTTAATTAGAAACAGCACAATTGGTCATTTGAAAGCTGAGAAACTGAATTAAAGGAAATAAATGGAAACTCACATTTGCACCAACAGCAAGTGTGCCTCCATTTGGGTGGAATGCAATTGCTGAACTCTCAAACTTCATAGGTTCAGTAAGTACAACTCGTTCCCCATCCAAAAGTACAACCTGAAAAGAGAAAAAAAAACACACATGCAAATGGGTAAATATATTCTCTATATTTTCTAAATTTACTTCTGCACACACATTTTATTTTGATAAGTTATCCATTATGATAAAACCTCCAGTTATAATTAAAACTATAAATACAAATTAAACAAAGCATTTACTACAGCAAATTTTGATCTACAAGAATTGAATAAGTTAACAGAAGTAATCCACAATCAAGTTACACTAAAAAATATTTCTATTTTTTTTTTTTTTAATGTCTATGCAACAATTAATTAATCATATGTGAAGATCTGTAGTTCTCAGAATCAGTAAAAGGTGGTGGTCATTGTTAATGGTCGATTTGATGATTGGAATAACTATCAAACAGGTACAAGTTGAGTAAACAAATTTCGTTTTTTCAAGAAAAATAACTTCAGGCTTTTAAAATTATCTGTCTGTATAAAGATAAACTTTTATTACATGACATTGATCATCTGTGTGTGCATATATATGAGTCTTTCTCTCAACATGCTCTCCTACCATTTTCAAATTTGTGGTGTCACTTAATATCCATGTGAAAGAACCACAAGGTTTACTTGAATCAGCACCGAGAAAATTCTATTGCCTACAAGTTAAATAAAATTACTTACATGGTTAATACAGGCAACAGCAGTCAGATTCCCGTGGCTAGCAACTGCACGAGGTTGAGACTCTAATTTAATGGAAGAAGTTCTAGAAAGGAGAAGAAATAAAATAAAGACAAAATACTTTGATTTCATATTTTCAAAACAAGTTTTTAATGTTTTATTCATTGTAAAAACTAGAAAAAAAACAAAAACAAAAAAAAAACAGTTGAATAAAATGACAATTCAAATATTTTTTTTTTTAAACTATTACAAAAATAATCCAAAATTAATTTGAGTGAAGCTTTCTTAAAAAAAAACCTCTTAATGATATTTATAAATTTGGGCAAAAATCAAAAAAAATAGTTGTTATTAATGTAAATAAAATTTTCTTTTTTTAAATTAAAGTTTGTCAGTAATAAAAAGTATTTCTGCTTAAAGAATTCTCATTTAGGTGGAAATTTGAGTATAAAAACAAAAACCAACAAAAAAAAAGTGGGGGCACTTTACCCATATTGCTTTGAGGAGATGGAAGTGAATCGAATTGTGTCATCCATGCTGACAGAGATCAGATTGTCACCTGACACTGTCAAATCTTGAATCTGTGTGCTGTGACCTTTGCCAACAATTTCATCGTTCAAACCAGAATTTGCATCCCAATAATGTAACAAGTGTTAAGGATATTATCATCTTCATACTTAAAAATTTATACAAATGAAAAGATCCAAATATCTTGTAATAAATAAAAGCTATATTATTTCAATGACAGGATTCATCCAATTGGTCATCTTTAGCAATCACATTAAATTAGACATGATCCTCTTTGCATAAATGCTGACAGTTTTGCTTTGAAACAATAAATAGCAAAAATCACAATGCTTCACAAATGTGTATGACATTTTGAAATTTAGAGCAAAAATAAATTTTCAGTTCATAAAATTTTTCTATTTTTTGTCATTTTTCTTTTAATTCACGATTTATAAGAAATAAGTTTTAAGAAGAAAAAATGTCATATAAGTTGCATATTTTTGTAACTTCTCCACTTTTCTAAGAATTGTTTCTTTTTGTTAATCTGAGACATAGATGTTCTCCACTCCTATAAACTATTAAGAGTATCTGGGTAGATTAAATCTACCCACATGGGATTTGTCAGAGCAATGGGTGTGCCAATGCCTTCTTCAAGTAACATATGACAGGTTCTATTGTGTTATAGGGTATCAGCAGCAACATTTAATCCTTAACCTGACCTGTAAGAAGTGCAAATACACATGAGTTTCAAATAGATGGCATTGGTTGGCTGAAATATTTTTTTATGATTTTTAGTAATGAAATGGTTTGTCTGAGAATTTCCACTAACTAAATTAACAAATGGGAGGAAATTTCTTGAATATTTAATAAACTCAAAAGTAGTCATCCTTAAAGGCTCTACTGATGGATTGAAACCACTAAGTTGTCTTTTTCCTAGCCTGGTTGTTAACCAAGGCTGAAGAGTCCAATCTCTTCCCTCCTATTGCCTTCATAGCTGGAGAAAGAAGAGATGAGTTCATGCCTTCCCAATAGTCCAAACAAGAATTTGAACTCAGTTTGTCAATTCCATTAACCATTAGGGGACAACAACATCTGCCCCCAATAAGAAAGTGGGTAGAAGAGAGATTTGGATAATATAAGTAATAAAATTGCTGTTAAAGATATAAATTTGAATAGGATTTCTAAGCAAACACTGCCTTTTTGTTTTGAATATCTGGGAGGATTTTTTTTATTTTTTGATTAATCTGATGTTTAATAACACGCCTTTTTCCTTTTATCAAAATAATGAAAAAGATTTTCTGTAGACACAGAGTTTTTAAATTTTTTAAAATTTCTTTTCTGTGATCTTTGTTTATTCTCCAGTTTGTTTGTTTTGTTTGTGAATAAAAATCAGTCTTATATGATTTCAGAAGCAATTAATTTTTGTTTAAAAGGCAACATATGAAATCATTCCATTTTTGGTGAAGAGTGCTAAGAACCTCTCCAATATCTGATCCTGTAAAATCTTTAATTTTATTTTCCTAAAATTACCAAGAATGCTACTATGAAAAAAAAAAATTATTATATGAGAATGTTACCTATATACCTAGGCATGTGACGAGTTAAAGTCAAGTATTATTTACTCTAGATAATGCTACATACACTTATCTCCTTTTTTATAATTTTAACATAATTTGATGGCAATAAAACAAAAGCTTAGAAATTGTCAGATGACAATGACAGCATTTTCAATAACAAAAAAAAAAAAAAAAAAAAAAAAAAAAACAAATTATAAATTATGCACAAAATAAAATTAAAAAAAAGGATATTAATATGACCACTGCTGCATCCAGTGAAGAGTGAGTTGCCATCAGATGCCAAAGCCATTGCCATTATTGGCTTATTATGACCCTAGGAAGGAAAAGCAACAACAATAAAGAAAGAGAAGAACAAAGAAAATTCAGTGTTACACAAAATAGTTTCAGCAAAACTTTGTAAGCAATAAAGTTCATTTTTAGAATCTATCAATCAGTATCATTTCCCAAAGAGATTTTACAAGCATTTGCTGTCTGTTAAAAGAATGCCTAATAAAATCCAAGTCAGTGACACTGAAGTTTTCAAAGCTTACAGTCTAATTCAAGAATTCAACCAAAGGAAATAAATACTAACATTTGTTTGTCACAAGACAAAAAAAATGAATTGAAAGAAACTAAAATATCTACATCTTTATAACAAAAAAAAAAAAAATTTCTGATTTTCAGGAAAATTCTATTTGTAACGAACACTAATTGAGATAAAAAAAAAATTGCAGAAGAAAACAAAAAATTTTAGAAGCTTAAATAATAACTTTTAAACTTAGAAATTGTTCACTTTTATAAAAGAAAAGATAAACACTGAATGTTAATTTTTTTTTTAAAGAATTTTACAAGAGAAACTTTTAATTGACTATTTAACAGCCTTTAACTTATATTTGGAAATGGTCACTGACAGTAAAAAATGCAACAAATTTGTCTGTAGTTAGGTGGCTGAAATAATCCATTTTGTCAAATATTGAAGCAAAGCACCTGCCTTTGACAAAGTGATTTCTACCTTAAGAAAAGTATTATTGGTTAATCAACTTGAATTATAACAAAAGAATCAATGCATTTTCATAAAGTCTTAAGAAATACTCTGTACTCTGTAGGTAAGTACAAGACGTGAATTTTTACTACTTCCTAGGAACTGGAAAAAACAGTTGTCAATGAACCAAAAGCCACTTGTTAAAAGTAAAAATGTTTTGAATAAGCTGGAGTCGAGAGATCAATTTGCTGATTCTCAAGATAAATTAACAAGTCACTTTGAGGCAAAGAAAATATTTCAGTAAGGATTGAAGATTTTTTTTTTCTGCCAATTCTTAAGTAAAATCTGAAAATGTTCCACACATGTATCAAGTAAATGTTTTTATGTATTCAATAAAGTAACAAGAGTTTAAGATTTAAAATACAAAATGCACGTTCTAGTAATAGTCGCATTGGGTTTCGTTCAAACTAGTTGATTTATGTACTGAGTTAGTTCTCCTTAATTGTTAGTGATGTACTAGTAAAGTATTAAGAAACAGAAAAATTTTGTTAGAAACAAAAAGAGTACTGAACTGTAATGTAATATCAGTCTTATTATATGGCAGTGAATGATCGACAATCTTTTCAAAGATGAAGAGCTCTGAAGCAACAGAAATGTGGTTCTACAGAAGGATGCTGAGAATACCATGAATCAAACATGAGAATAATGACAAAGTTTTAGAGAAAACAGAAACAAAAAGGACACTTACACAACATCAGAAAGAGACTGTTGAAATTTCTAAAGGCACATGAGAAAAGAAGACTTGGAAAATCTGATACTCAAAGGATGAATGAAGACAAGAAAACAAAATGCATAATCTATTTGGTGAGCTGAAGTAAATGGATGGTGGAACAGGGTTTAGGACAAATAACAAAAAAACAACAAAATTTATTAAGAGTTATAAAGGACAGAAAATTGTGGAGAGCCATGATTGCCAATGTCCTGAAGGGACAGCGCATAGAAGTAAATGTCATCAGAAAAGATATTATCAACTAAAAATAATCATGCCTTGTGAAATGGAGAATGAAATCCCAATATCCTCTCTTAGGATACACCTCTTAGTTTTTATATATATATATATATATATATATATATATATATGTGTGTGTGTGTCAGATTCATTAAAACCAGCAAAAGTTCTGTAATACATAGATATGAGAAAATTTCACATATCAACCAGAAATCAGGAACATTATTAGAAATCTTTAAAGGATGGAATATTTGCTGTTTTTATACACACACACACACACACACACACACACACACACACACATCATGCAACAGATCTGCTTTTCTGTCTCTTCAACTTCTATGTCACATTCAAACAATCTGTTACAAACATCATAAAAGCAACAAATGGTTATGGTTAAGGAGCTTGACACTAAAAATCATCATCACTGAGGCAAAAAGACAAAAGGTACTTACTTTCAAAATACGCAGTGGTTTCTCTGGGTTGTTCTTATCTAGATAATTAATGTATCCTGATAGAGAGAAGGTGATCATTGAATCTCCTACCCACACACAACCCACTTGCATATCGTTTGTTGTTTTGCCCAAAGTGAATTCACTGTAAACATAAAAATAAAATGCCAAAATAATATGAAACAAAGAAAAAAATATTATAAATATAAACTACATTTGAAAAAAAAAAAAAAAATTCATCTATCGAGAGAAGAAATAACAGATTTGTCAAGAGATGTGTCACCTCCAGAGGTCATGAGTTATAAAGATAGAGATCTTATACACCCCTGGTCAAAATCTTATGACTAAATACAAAAGGGTTAAAAAAAAAAAATAAAATAAAATACTGTTACAGTATTTACATTAGTCGGACTATTGTCCTCATCTTTGTCGCCATATTTGTCACAACGTTTCGGCCGTTGTACGCTCCGGCCTTCTTCAGGTGGTTGGAATTTCGAACTGAACCCTTTATTTCGATCGCTGGGGTAGACTGTTCTAATTCCACGTGCCAAGGACACATGGCACAGTGGATAAAGGCGTTGGTTAGATCCAGTGACAGACCCAAAGAAGGTGAGTTCAATTCCTGGTTAAGGCAGTGGAGAACTTTCAGAGGGAAAATTAGCAGGAGATAACTGATAACTGACATCCATCAAACATGGCACGTGGAATTAGAACAGTCTACCCCAGCGATCGAAATAAAGGGTTCAGTTCGAAATTCCAACCACCTGAAGAAGGCCGGAGCGCATAAAGCGGCAAAACGTTGTGACAAATATGGCGACAAAGATGAGGACAATAGTCCGACTAATGTAAATACTGTACATAATACCTCATCTCAGAAATATAGACAAAATACTGTTACTTTAATCAAAATATATTTGCGCAACATTAACATTTAATTAGAAAATGTAGTTTATCAACAAACAAGTGAACATTTTAAGCTTTTAATTGATTAATTTAAACAAACATTGAAAAAAGGATTTTTTGGAGTTGGTCATAAAAATAAGAGCATGTAAATCAAAATAGCAAAAACAGAACAAAAAAGTCATAAAGACAATTTAATTCTCAGTATATCCTCCTTTTTGGTAAATTACTTTGAAAATTCACTCATTATTAACTTCTGTATGAGGATGCTTGGGATGATTGCCCAGGATGCATAAACTGCAACATGAAGAGCATCCACAGTTTCAAATTTTGATCCATGTTTATAAATATCCTTTGCCATCCATCCCTGATCTGGAGAGCGTTGTGGATTGCAGCATTGTCCTGCTAGAAAATCCAGTTTTCTCCACATATATAAGAGCCTTCAGTAATTAGCAATGCCTTTCTTAACATGTCAATGTAACTAGCAACTGTTTGACGACCTTTTACCTCCTGCAATTCAAGAGTTCCATTGTCCAAAAATGAACCCCAGACCATAATTTATCCACCTCCACTGTGTTGTGTTGAAAAAATTTCTTTTAGGACATCTTTTGCATGCCAGTAATGCTGAAAACTGTCTGGGCCATCAAGATTGAATTTTTTCTTGTCTGATAACAACACTTTCTTCCATTTGTCCACATCCCAAGTTTGATAATCAGAAGCAAATTGTAAACAGGAGATTTATGGCAAAGAAGAAGGCGAGACCTCTGCAGCCATTACAAGTTCTTAAACCCTTTCTTATTTAAATGCTGTCAAACTGAGAGCTGCATTCAGCATCTGTATTCACTTTTATCTAATTTGATGTTAGGCTTGAATCTCTCTTAAATCTTTGTCTAATGCATCTGTCTAGAGATGGTGAGATTTTATTGGGGCGACCGCTTGATTTTTTAGAAGTATCCACATTTTGAATGAAGTTAGCAATGAGTTTAGCTACGGTCAATTTCATTTGCAATGGCTTGTTGCAAAAGACCACATCTTTGAAGTTCAACAATCCTGCCCTGTTCAAACTTTGTTAAAATTTGACCCTTAGCCATTTTAAAATCTGAAATTTAATACTGGAAATGAACTACATAGAGGTCTACATGCCTGAAGCTATGAGAACACTGACTAGTTCTAAAATTTTTGTCCAGCAATTTCTTTTTTTCACATATGGTCTTATCTTCATGACCAAGTAAAAAAAAATCCTTTTTTCAATGTTTGTTTAAATTAATCAATTAAAAGCTTAAAATTTTCACTTGTCTGTTGATAAACTATATTTTCTAATTAAATGTAAATGTTCTGCAAATATATTTTGATTAAAGTAACAGTATTTTATTTTTTTTTTTTTTTTAACCCTTTTGTATCTGGTCTTAAGATTTTGACAAGGGTGCGATGGGTAAATTGTCGCCATTTTATATTTTTTAATTTTGTGTCGTTTTTTTTTGTTTTTTTTTGTTTTGTTGCCTGCACAGTATTGTAGGGCTAGTTGGGCACTGTCTTTGAGAAAAAGAGTATCATTTCACTCCACCAGAATTTAGAAATGGCATGCTGTACTGCTTAGCATTCACGCCAGAAGCTCTAATACAAACATTTCAGAATGTTTAGGTGTCAATCTCAGGACAGTGCAGACAATTCAGAAAGAGTTAGATGAGTTTAATGGTGATTATGAAGGTGTTTGGAGCGATCATAGTGATGGCAACGTTATGCCCTCATTTATCTTCCCACAGGGCCTCAGACTCATCATGGAGATAGTGCTGCCCTGGATCAAGAAGTGGGGCTGCTGGAAGATCCTATGTCTGACAACAGGATTCAGCACCATGCCACACAAGCAGGAGGCCATGGTTGAGGCCAATGGTGATTTTATTGAATAAATTTAATCTTTAGTATTTCAAGATATTTTTGTGTAATTTTTGATAAATATACTTGGTAAAATGATATGTCAGCATTATTTTCATTTTTGTGTCATTTAGATGACAATTTCTTCATCGCACATCGATTCTTAGAATATCACTGGATCTTACTGGAACTAAAGATGTTTGGCCAAAGAAATATACATGTAATTCAAGATAAATTAAAAAAAAAAAAAAAAACACACAGTATCCTTCCAGTTCATATATTTTGTTTTTCTTTCAAACTACTGTTCAGATTTGATAAGTAGACAGACACAGACAACCACATGTTTTGTCATAATGATTTGAGACAAGGTTTTACAATGTCATAATGATTTACAATTGTTATAATGATTTGAGACAAGGTTTTACAAGGCCGAACACTCTTCCTGATGTCCAACTCAAATGCACACAGTAGTCCAAGTACACCAAGTGTTTTTATCAAAACACCATTTTTAGGAAGATTGCCATTCAAGGCTTCAGGATCCTATCCTAGACTATATATATATATATATATATATATATATATATATATATATATATTTTTGTCTTGTGGATTGACATACCACCCTCCTCACTTGTAGAAAGGCTAGTGGGTGTGCTAGTTTAGATGCCAATTATCAGTCCATGCGATAGGGTTACATGTTACCAGTATCAGTCCTAAGCTTGAACTGACACCATGACGGAGAATTGCAGAAATCCTTCCTTACCAGAAATAGTAAAAGGTGCAAACAGATAACCAATCACAATAAATAACATCACTCCTCCTGCAACAGAGTGACCACCTTGCTCAAGATTTTAGTAGTCTATGAATAAGTTTTTGTGGTTGAATCAAACAAAATAATTATACTAAATAAATGAAAGTGATTTTGGGGATGTAGAAAGCTGAGAAGACTATAGACTAATAAGGAAAAGAAACCAAATGAAACAGTTAATTAGAACATATAAAACTAATTTCATTAAGGCTTTGAGATTGGAACTGGTAAGAATCAAAACTTGTATTTCTAATTTAAAAGAGTGCAGATATAACAGAATTTCTAAATGACTAGACAAACAAGAATTATCCAAATATTTTCCTATTCACCCAAACATATTTCTCATCGGTCAACCATATTTAGAAAAATAAAGAAACATATTTATGAGACCTGAAAACTTCTATGGTTTGTGTTCCTTAATATCAGTGGCTTTTATTGGAAAAGATTCACAGATCTGCAGTCCATACAGCATCAAGACTATACTCAGAAGTAGCTCCAGCCTATGAAGATATTTCAGCAGAGTCAAGCCTAAGACAGACAAGAACATGTATGGAGGGAAAAGGGTCATCATCAACCCCTGTGGAATGAAGTAAAAATGCTGGACAGCAAGAACACTAAAGAGTTAGACGTTTGAAGGAATTGGCATGTATGCTAGGCTATGAAGACCTCCTTAGTAGGCCTAGCATAGAAATAAATACAATATGGGAGCCGTTAATAAATAGAGAGAGAGAGAGGCGATAGCAAGGCTTAAACATCTTCTGCAGTAAAAAGTGAAGCCTCAGTCAGTGCAGTCAAGTGTGACAAGTTGCAGCAGAAACACCTATCAGCAGGCAGGTAAAGGCGCCAGGTTCTCCACTTAGAATTGTCCAATGGCTTAGTGGATTAAAGTGTTGGTTCATGAGTTTAGTGACCGAATAATTTTAAGTTCAATCCAGGGCAGTGTGTGCTTGAATACAGTGGAAATGGAGTTAGCAAAAAATGACCAATACTTAAGGAGACAAGACAAGATATCCATGGACATAGGAGAATGAGAACAAGCTACACCTGTAGAATAAATAAAGGATTCAGTTTGAAATTCCCAAGGGTTACCCAGATTGATAAGCATTGGATGAAGGTCAGAGGGCACAATAGCCAAAATGTTGTGATAGCAACAAAGATGGGGACAATAGTCCACAAGTAAATAATATAAGTAAGAATCTTTTTGACTGAAAGAAATGCTGATGTGACCACTCCAATGTCTGAGAACAGAAAGGTCCATATACACAGGCACTAGATAAGATTGTCCAAGTTAGTCATTATGGTTTATTTTGTACCCTGGTCATTAAGGATATGGAGCTATTTTTTGCCAACGTCAGAAGAACAGAGTTGATTTAAAAAGGGGGAAAAATGACTTAAAAGAAGGAACGAAGACATAAGTCATTACTAATTGTTAGACTGACTGTTCATAGTAAAAGGCCTCACAGGAAAGGAGGCCTTGTGTTGGGACTGACATTTGTTCCAGTTATGAAGAAAAAGAAGATGTATTTGTGTAGTAATTACCAGTAATAAATAGTTGTTTCTTATCA